TTAATCTGCCTATCCATCTCTGATCTCTCTCTATTTTTTTCCTCTTTTTGTACGTAGCGAAAACTTAATCGCGATTTTTTAATTGTTTGCTGTTGGAGTTAAAAAAAAATGGATACAAATAAAATTTACTGCAGAATATATATGACAACTTCCACTCAGAATATATATGACAACTTCCGCTCAGAAAATATATGACAACTTCCGCTCAGAAAATATATGACAACTTCCGCTCAGAATATGACAACTTCCGCTCAGAATATATATGACAACTTCCGCTCAGAATATATATGACAACTTCCGCTCAGAGTTTAGAACCCGGAAACCTGGAAAATGAATCTCGATACTTTTTGTTTTTTTAGAAATATAATGTTTAACATATATGAGTTATATCGCGGCACCTTAATCATGTGGTATGTTTATGATCTTTAATTAATTTTTGTTTTCACAAATCGAGCTGTAACGTTACCTTCCACTCATTTCAATTTAGCCGCGATATTTTACGTGCCTTTCCATTTCCTTATTGTGTCTCGGTGCATGCAGTGCAATGGCCTTGTTTTACAATGCATTCAAGATATTACGTTTTTTCTTTCTTTCTTTTTTTCTTTCTTTTTTTTTACCAGAGTAAGATGGGTGAAGATCCGCCTTTCAGAACAAGAACACCTAAGTTACTGCTTTAGGGTTTAGCATCTAACTTAGGTAATTACGCAAAATCCAGTATATTAATAAGGGAAATGGATGAAAACAGTTGTTAATTTATGATTTAGTGACAATTTGCGAATTAAATCCAGTTAATCTGAATACCATTTAATGTTTATTTATACATGTTTAATCCTAGAGGAAGATTGTTATAATTCAACGCATTCTCACCCCAAGGCGTCACCTTTGACCATGCTTCAATATTTGACGTTTTAGGCGCCCTTGCTGTATAATTGCAACAGACTATTTATTATGATGAAGATTATTTTGAAATAACTCCACAAATTATTATAATTATGGGGGGCGTGTTACCCCAATGATTTCACTTTAACTTTCTACATCACAATGTAATAATTGTGTCAAGATTTAGTGATGTGAATGAAGTATTTTGTTACTTTAAAATAGTTTAATTTCTGTGATAGGCAATTTGTCCACACTGAATGTGAAATACAATATTTCTTTCTTAAAAAGGCATTAGAAAGTCTCGAACTTTAGCTTTCGGCCCATTTGAAATTCCAAACACTTTATCTTGAATGAAGACGAGCTGGCAAATTAGAGTTAAAAGACTGACATGTTTGACTAAACCAAACCTAAGTGTTATTCTAGGCTGATATGCGTTAAGTTTTATCTGCAGCAAAACACTTCCTATCATGCTTTTAGTTTGTGCAGCTGGTAAACAGACTCTTCGCCTGCGCGCAGTGTTTCCTCTAGGATTTTTTTCCATCTGGGGTAGCAAGCCCATAACAGTCAATGTAACCTCACCATGTATCATGTTTCCTACCTAATTAATCCTCCTTTGGATTTGTTATATCTTACTCTGAGCATTACTGAACAGAAAAAGGTTGAGTTATAATCACTGTTAGGACAAAGACTTGCCCCCAGGTGAAACTCCCACCAGAAAATAAACTTCTCTCATTGGTTAAGTAAACGAAGAGAGGTGGGACCTTCTCGGGCTTTATATAAAGAGTCCACCGTGACCAGGGATCCCACTCTCTTGGTTTTTCGCATCTGCCCCCCTTTCACGGAAGCCCCAGGGCCCAGAAGGTTGTGCTTTATGCTCCCAAAAGAAGTCAGACTGTTTTTCTTCTGTTTTTCTCTGCGTGTCCTCCCTGACCAGAACTGGCAGGCCACGGTCTACTCTCCAGCCATGAGAACAGAGTCAAACCAACCATGCATGTTCATCATATCTTCTTTATCCAGCGAACATTCAACATCTGACACTCACAGAATCATCAACAACTTCAATTTTCAACAACTTTGATAATAGTGTATGCAACCCAGGCATCCAAGTATACTTTTGATTCGATGCTTTGAAAATTAAATGCTGATATTATTCTCATATACCTTCTCAATAGTTCCGTTTCCGGTTTCGTTCTATCACTCACCTATTTGTGTATTCATGTGTGTGTGTTGTTTAGTTTATTTATTTGAATATTATATTTTTATTTGAAATTAAAAATGACATATTACGATGTTATTACATATTACATATAAATATTATGATGATTGGCCATTACTGATGAACACTTGCTGTTAACAAGCAGAATCACTGAAGAAAAAAAAATAGGAAGAACTAAACAGCTTATGACGTAATTTTATGTTCCGGGAAAACTTAAGTGTGTTTAACAGTGTTGGTTACTATCGATCCGAATTAAGCACTGATCTAGAGGGTTGCTTTGTGGGGCATTGAACTGAATGCTGACCTGAAGAAGTGAGTGGTGAAGGCTTTTTTAGTGAAGACAGCAGATGTCTTGAAGGAGAAAGATTCTGAGGAAATTACTTTCAGCACCGCCTTATAGCAGTTGAACCCGCCTCTAAATATGTTGCACACTTGAACATCATTGGCAAGTGTAGGCGTGATTTATTAATTCTTTAGTATTTATCGGAGTAAGGAGTTTCCCAATAGCGACAGCTGATGCAAAGTTGATTGAACCCAACTCAAAAGAAAACTCATGAATATTTATGTCACCGTTATGTAATTGGATTTGTACTCACTGAGATCACTGTCGGTTTTACTGTGTATTTTATTGTAATTCTTTTACAGCACTTTGGTCATTTGCCAGCTGGAAGTAAATGTGCTCTATAAAGAAACGGAATTTGAACTTGAACTATTTTATTTTTTGCTTTATAGTTTACGGACTTTTTACTTTGGCATGAAATTACCCAAAAAAAAAAAAAATGGTTAAAACACATGTGAGGGTATTTCAAACAAGCAGAAAAATACTTTTTTATTTAATCAGAAGACACGTATACTAAGGATTTTTTCTACTATGGAAAAAAACAGGGTTTTTGCAGTCGGGTGGTGTAGTTCCAGTATCTACCAGCAGGGACTGACTAACAGGAACCCACTAACAGCTAACCATCAGCGGCTGAGAGAGTGCTGGTAAATTTCTAAATCTGCCTATATATAAAAATATATATATAAAAATATATTTTTTTTTCTCTCTCTCTTTTTGTACATAGCGTAAACTTAATCGCGATTTATTAATTGTTTACTGTTGGAGTAAAAAAAAAAGTGTATATTTGCTGCAGAACATGTCTATGACAACTTCCGCTCAGGGTTCAGAGAGAACCCGGAAACCTGGAAAATGTTCAGAGTCGCGTTTAACAAGTTGTATCGCGGCACCTTGATCACGGGGTATGTTTTTGATTTTTAATGAAATTCTATTTTCACATAACGAGCTAACGTTATAACGTTAACAGTTACCTACCACACCTCCAGTTTAGCCGCGATAGTTTACGTGCCTTTAGCATTAGCTAGCATGGTTTATCCTTATTGTCTCGGTGCATGCAGTTACATTTATTTGACTGGCCTTGGTTTACAGTGCATTCAAGACATTACTTTTTTCTTTTTCTTTTTTACCAGGGTTAGATGGGTGAAGATTCACCCTTCAGAACAAGAACACCTAAGTTACTGCTAAATCATATTTAGAGTTTAGCATGTAACTTAGGTAATTACGCAACATCCAGTATTAAGGGTAATGGATGAAAACAGTTGTTAATTTATGATTTAGTGACAATTTGCGAATTAAATCCAGTTAATCTGAATACCATTTAATGTTTATTTATACATATGTTTAATCCTAGAGGAAGATTGTTATAATAGCAACATAGCCTACTGTTCATAATGAAAATAATGAAGATTATTTTGAAATAACTCCACAAATTATTATAATTATGGGGGGCATGTTACCCCAATGATTTCACTTTAACTTTCTACATCACAATGTAATAATTGTGTCAAGATTTAGTGATGTGAATGAAGTATTTTGTTACTTTAAAATAGTTTAATTTCTGTGATAGGCAATTTGTCCACACTGAATGTGAAATACAATATTTCTTTCTTAAAAAGGCATTACAAAGTCTCGAACTTTAGCATTCGGCCCATTTGAAATTCCAAACACTTTACCTTGAATGAAGACGAGCAGGCAAATTAGAGTTAAAAGACTTGCATGTTTGACTAAACCAAACCTAAGTATTATTCTAGGCCGATATGCATTAAGTTTTATCTGCAGCAAAACACTTCCCATCATGCTTTTAGTTTGTGCAGACAGAGTGTAAACAGACTCTTCGCCTGCGCGCAGTGTTTCCTCTAGGAATTTTTCTTGCTGTGTTGGCAAGCCCATTTTCCTAGGGGGAGGGGGAGGGGGCGTGACCCACGAGTGATATTCCCGTAGACCACGCCCCCTTTGTCTTCCCTAAGTATTGTAATATGAAAGTAAACACGAATTGATTATATTTATATATGCTTAGTCGGGCTCCACGATTTGGGGAAAATGTCATATTGCGATTATTATTGAGGTCAATATTGCAATTGCGATATAATGAACAAATGGTTTCATGAGTCAACTTGCTTGGTTCTAAAGTACACAGATTAGTGATCATTCTGTGTATTAATGTGTATTTTGCAACAACAACTGAATGATTGATAACACCTAAAATGATCAATAAACTATCAACCAAACCAACATTACAGTGATTCCATCATTACTGATGATTACTAAAGGCTTAACAAAATAACACAAAACTATGCAGAATATCGGACCTCACTGAGAAGCTGCAGCCGTGGCGGGATGATTTTAAGTGTCGCGGCCCGCCACGGCAGAATGAATGTCGCAGAGACACTGCCTGCGCAAGTCTTACATCGCGCAAGTCTGCGCAAGATTACATCACAGCAAGTCAGAGAGCTTTTCTAACCGGCGAGATCAGTTCTACTCTGATCAACACAAACAAGCCTGTTGACAATGCCATGGTGTACTGGTTGAGATGAAATTAAGTAACTAGTTTTTTTCTGTTTCTTTTCAGTTGTCGCTTCATCTTTGTGTTTGCAGTGCTGATTAACAAAGGTGAGCATCTAAAATTTGAATCATGCTACATGTATAAATGTCAGACTGTGTTTACAGTTAATGTATCTGTAATTTCAGTGTCTCTGCAGGAAACGGTATATAGAGAGGGTGTTACTGGCGGTTCTGTTCTCCTGCCGTGTTCTTCTAGTGATCATGTTCAGAAACTTAAAGACATCGATGTAAGCTGGAGACAGAATGACAGCGAGATTGTGTATGATATAATCAAGGGTGAAGATTCAGTGGCAGAACAGGACCGTCGGTACAAGAATAGAGTTGAAACGTTTCCATTGGAGTATGAGAGAGGAAACTTCTCCATCAAACTCAACAATCTCAATTACACTGATACTGGAGAGTTCAACTGCCTCATCACACCCTCAAACGAACAGACGAATGTTGTACTGATCATCAAGGGTGCGTGAAACTGCTTCATTAATATATATATATATATATATATATATATATATAATATACACATATATATACTCCTGGTTTCACAGACAGGTTAAGTCTAGTCTCAGACTAAAATGCATGTTTGAGCTGTTTTAATTGAAAGCAACTTGCACTTGCATAACTTAAAATATATTAAAGCCATTGTTTTGTCTCAAGATACACACCAGTATTGTTTTTTTCTAAGGCACGTTTATAAAAGCAACTTAAATGCCCTCATTGAACGTAGGCCTAATCCTGGCTTAATCTAAGCCCTGTCTGTAAAACCAAACCATATAGTTTTTAATTTAAAAAGTTAACTGGTGATGTTCCAGTCTCAGTGCTACTTTACATAAATAACAGAAAGTTATGTTGTCTTTATATCTGTGCCGTAATTTTTTTTTTCTCTCTTAACTTTGGTTCCATAATCAACAGCAGGAAAAGAAAACAAACATAAACAAGAAGACCAAGGACTGGACCAGACGACTGGACCACATATCATTTACATATGTGTTGGCACTCTCTTAGGTGTAATTATTGTTTTGTCTGTTGCCTATTTTATTCACCGGAGAAAAAGAAATGCCTTATAGACCATTTGGGAGCAGACATCACAGAAAAATGGTTAATGCTTCCTTTTACAGTACAGTGTACTTGTGTACTTACCTAGAAAGTACTGGCTAATATAAAAGTACATGGGTTATGGGGTAGGTTTAGGGGTAGGTTCAGGGTTAGTGTTATTACCCAGTAATTATAATTACTGTAATAAGTACATAATAAGTACATGGGTAACAGGACTGTAAAAGGAAGCGTCACCAAAAAATGTGTCAGAAAAATGTTTTTATAGAATACCGAAGATGATGTTTGAAGCTGTTTCAAGCCATTAAACGCACAGACTGAACTGATGAAACCTGCGATTACCCCACTATTAAGCCTTGAATTATATAAATAATGTTCTTGCAGTTCATGGGGACATCGTGTATTAGCCCTACAGTAACAGCATGAAATAATATTTAAACCTATTACCATTTTTTTCTAAAAAACTAGTCTCTTTTATCTAAAGACTCTTTTCTTGGAATTGTGAGTTTATATTAAAAAATGTGGACTTAATAACTTGCAATTTCAAATTTATATCACAATTCTGAGGAGACAATATGAACTTGCAATTCTGAGGAAAAAAGATAGAATATCGAGTTTAAATGAAAAAAACAAAACAAAAAAAAAACGTTTCTTTCCAGAATTATGAGATAAAAACTATACATTTTTTTGTTTAGTTTTTTTTTTTACTCTTATTCCATGGCTTCTAAATTTTTACAGCTTGATGCAACATAACACTGCACTGTTCAAGTAACAACAAAATATGGTTATGAGCTTTAAACTGTCCAGTTATACAAATTGTATTAGTTTATATAAGTTACAAAGTTATAAAGTCACACTCTGTCTCTCTATCGCCCAGTGTCACTCACAGGGTTCGCTTCGCTTTTGTCCAGTCCAGCACCTCATAGACAGATGCAGTGTGCATGTTGTGTGTGTCTGTGTGTGTGTGTGTGTGTGTGAAGGTGAGAGAGACGTGTGAGTGATAGAGAGACGGAGGGAGAGTGGGGAAAGGAAATACAACTGAAAGAATGTGCTGCGTGTTTTAAAGGGGTGGTTGAGTATGATTTCACTTTTCTGACTTTAGTTAGTTTGAAATGTTGCTGTTTGGGCATAAACAACAGTATCAAAGTTACAATGCTCAAAGCAAAGGAAAATATTTGCTTTTAAAGAAAAGGACTACAACAAACGGCTGGTAGAGACTACACGACATTCGTCCAGGTTAAGTGACATCAGCAACCCCAAAATGTGCATAAACCCCGCCCCTGGAAACAGTCCAAGTTGAGACACAATTACATAGACCTTAATAGAAAAACACATGTAAAGTCAAAAAACACAATTATTATAAGTAAACTATATATAAATATATTATGTAAAGTGCACAACCTCCCTAGTTCATTTTTTTGAGTGCATGTTGAGAAGAGGAAAAGTTGTTGTATAAGAGTACGTTTGTGAGTCAGCACAAACTTTAGCATCCATTTTTTCACATGCAATTGAAAGTCACTCCGTGTGCATCTCACAACAGTTCCTATACGAGTGATTTATAGATTATCCTGACAGAATATATTAATTGAAGATATTTAACTTCACATCAGCAACATAAATTCATCAACAAACCATTCAGAGATGTCCTGTTGCATTCAACATGTTGTCACTTCTTCTTGAGTCTCTCCATCTTTGACTGACTCCGTTTTAACATTAAAGGGAGAACAGTTTCTGTCATTTTAGTGTGTCTGCGTGAGGAAATCGCCGCTGCTTACACCAAGGGGGTAATCCATCAGCCGGAAGTTGAAGCCTCGCGGGAGCCGCCATTGTAGCAGAACTTCACCTGCTGTTAGCATCCCATTGACTCCCATTCATTTTGGCGTCACTTTGACAGCGAATAACTATACATCTGAGGCGTCCAAAGACTTTATTTTTCCATTATTTATTTCTAAAGAAACACGCCAATGTATAAAATGCTCCATTACTTTGTATCTTACGTTATGGCCCCGTAGAAGCCGTTTTTGTACAAATAGGCTAAAGATTGCGTCATAACCATTGGACTTTCTATCGCACAATAGAGACTTTACCGTATAGATAGGAGGAGATGCTCGCAGGCAATCCTTTACTGTCTATGAGGCGATCGGGGGACATGGAGGCACAAAGTCGAGGTAGAAGCCCATAAACAGAGAGTCCATAAAAGCAACGGAACAAAATATTTCAACAACGTTTTCGAGGAATTAGGTTATTCAGATTTGTCTTGGCACAGCTACTAGAAGATTTTCAACTGTCAGACTGTCGTCATGCTCAGTTTGAGCCTGCGCAGTTGCTCAGACACCCTTTAACTGACAGCAATTTGGCCTGTAAGGCGGGTACTGCTAGGTTATAAAACCTTATAAACGTAGACGGGGAGACCAGCCTTCTACCATACATCTTGCAAAGTAATCCCACTAGACCACGGTGAGGCCATGCCTCTAGTGGAATGTGCTCTAATGCTGCGTTCATGTGATATGGTAATTATGGTAAATACCAACATTTTCCGACGTGGAAAATGCACATGAACACCCCCTCGTGTGGTATTTTCCACTGGGCAACTCGTAGAATATTTTGATGGATGAGTTGCCGAGATGAGATAACCTTTGATCTTTTCAAAATGGCGGAGAGCACCGCGAGAGTCGTGAATGGTAAAAATAAATACTATTCATGATCTAGAAAATATAGGCTACAGCATATTATTTACCTTTTGAGTTTTGATAAATCATTTTCTTGCTGTTGCAGATGACTTAAGCAATCTAAAATAGTTTTAGCTAAATAACAGGTCTGGATCTCCATCTTTTTACCACATTACGACAACAAAAGCACTTGAACGCAACCCACTGGTAAATACCAGTTCACAAGTGGAAAATATCCTATTTTCCATAGCACGTGAACGAAGCATAACACCTAAAGGGCACTCAAGTCCCTTTGTAGAGTATGCCAGTGCTATGGTATCCACTATCCATCTGGATAGGGTCTGTTTCGAAGCGGCTATAGGCCCTTAGCACAACCGCTGAACGAAACGAAAAGCTGCTCCGTCTGTCTGAAAACAGACAAGCGAGATACAAAGGCCTTTAACACCCTAACTGGGCAAAGTAGGCTTAAAATCCTGGAATGTTTTCATCAAAAACCTTAATTTGAAGAACTAAACAGCTTATGACGTAATTTTATGTTCCGGGAAAACTTAAGTGTGTTTAACAGTGTTGGTTACAATCGATCCGAATTAAGCACTGATCTAGAGGGTTGCTTGGCGGGGCATTGAGCGCTGACCTGAAGAAGTGAGTGGTGAAGGATTTTTTAGTGAAGACAGCAGATGTGTTGAAGGAGAAAGATTCTGAGGAAATTACATTCAGCACCGCCTTATAGCAGTTGAACCCGCCTCTAAATATGTTGCACACTTGAACATCATTGGCAAGTGTAGGCGTGATTTATTAATTCTTTAGTATTTATCGTAGTAAGGAGTTTCCCAATAGCGACAGCTGATGCAAAGTTGATTGAACCCAACTCAAAAGAAAACTCATGAATATTTATGTACAGTATGTCCCACTCACAGAAACTGATCATCTGAGAAACTGAAAATCTTTGAAAATGTTTGATGTAATCGTGACATGGTGTGTTTGTGTGACACTTTTATCTTTAGCTTTAAACAACATGTTTCCCTATCCAAAGTTATCCAAATAAAGGAAAATAAACTGTTAAAGTCGGCGTGAAATGGAAGTTGAGACTGTCATTTTTTCCTCGTCGTGACGTATATCCAAGTGAAACGGCTTCTGAAATTAGGAAAAAATGTAGGGCAGGGCTTGATTTCATCCTTCGGGAATTAATTGGATCGTTGGAGGTTGGGCGTTGCAAACAATTTGAATGTGATTCTCTGAGAGGCGATGCACTGATAGCCGCACCCTCATCGGATCTGGCCGCACCATTTTGCCATTCCACGTGACCAAAAGAGAAGAGAGGTCGTTTTGATGGGAGAGGGAAGGGTTTGAATTTGATTAAAGATTTTAAGGGTACATGAATTTTAAAAAAATAATGAAGTTCACCGATAAATCATTTATAATAAACACTACAATATTACATATAAAAAGAAGATTTGTCAAATTTGATTTTATGCCGACTTTAACTTAAAATGGGGAACAAAAAATGGGCCATTGTCTTACATAAATATACTCAATTAAATAAAGTTGACAAAAAGCAAATTAAAGCATGTAAGGAGCTAATTATTATTTTATTATTAATTAATTAATATTATTAATTAATTATTTTACTTTGCATGAAATTACAAAAAAAAAATAAAAAAATAAAACACCCGTGAGGGTGTTTCAAACAAGGAGCAAAAATACAGTTTTATTTAATCAGAAGACAGGTATACTAGCCTACTTTTGAAAGGGTTTTTTCTACTATGGAAAACATGGTAGTCGGGTGGTGTAGTTCCAGTATCTACCAGCAGGGACTGACTAACAGGAACCCACAAACAGCTAACCATCAGCGGCTGAGAGAGAGAGTGCTGGTAAATTTCTAAATCTGCCCATCCATTTCTGATTTCTCTATATATTTTTTTCTCTTTTTTTACGTAGCGAAAACTTAATCGCGATTTATTAATTGTTTACTGTTGGAGTAAAAAAAATGAAAAAAAAAAAAATGGATACAAATAATATATGTACTGCAGAACATGACGAACTATGACGAACTTCCGCTCACAGTTCAGAGAAAACCCGGAAACCTGGAAAATCATGTTCAGAGTCGCGATACTTTTTTTTTCTGTTTTTTAGAAATATAATGTTTAACATATATGAGTTGTATCACGGAAACTTGATCATGGGGTATGTTTATTTTTTAATTAAATTCTGTTTTCACAAAACGAGCAATAACGTTACCTCCCAAACATTTCACTTTAGATCTGCCGCGATATTTTTGTGTCTTTAGCATTAGCATGTTGTATTTCCTCATTGTGTCTCGGTGCATGCAGTTATTTGACTGGCCTTGTTTTACAGTGCATTCGAGATAATTTTTTTTTCTTTTTCTTTTTTACTTTTTTTGAAGATTCACCCTTCAGAACAAGAACACCTAAGTTACTGCTAAATCATATTTAGGGTTTAGCATCTAACTTAGGTAATTATGCAACATCCAGTATATTATTAAGGGAAATGGATGAAAACAGTTGTTAATTTATGATTTAGGGACAATTTGCGAATCAAATCCAGTTTATCTGAATCCCATTTATTGTTTATTTATACATATTTTTAATCCCAGAGGAAGATTGTTATAATAGCAACAGCCTAACATTATGATAATAATGAAGATTGTTTTAAATAACTCCACAAATTATTATAATTATGGGGGGCATGCTACCCCAATGATTGCACTTTAACTTTCTACATCACAATGTAATAATTATGTCAAGATTTAGTGATGTGAATGCAGTTATTTGCAGTATTTTGTTACTTTAAAATAGGAGTGTAATTTCTGTGATAAGCAATTTGTCCACACTGAATGTGAAATACAACAATTATTTCTTAAAAAGGCATTAGAAAGTCCCAAACTTTAGCTTTCGGCGCATTTGAAATTCCAAACACATTACCTTGAATGGAGACGAGCAGGTAAATTAGAGTTAAGAGACTTACATGTTTTTCAAAACCAACTTCAGTATTATTCTAGGCTGATATGCGTTAAGTTTTATCTGCAGCAAAACACTTCCCATCATGCTTTTAGTTTGTGCAGCTGTGGCCTCTACCATGATGGTAGTTGAACAAACTCAGGGTTGCAGGATTAGTTTCAAGTTGACAAAACCAAACCAATCCAACCAGGCTTTGTTGGTACCATGATGCTGATCATCAACTTTCTCTGTCAACTCAGGCTTTGATCCTGAGTTTAGGAGTTTAGGTGTGACATCAGTAGCCAATAGCCAATCACATGCTAAGAAAGAGTGAAACTCATTCAAAACTCATTGAAATTAATTTCTCGCGAGAGAAGTAGCGCAATTCACTTATTAAATAAAAGTATTAAAATATTAATTTACACAGGAAGAAGAAAATAGCGATCTGTGGAAGAGGATAACTAAAAGAAAGACTCGTTACTGTATATCAGTGCAAGTAAAAGTTGTGAAGTTAGTTTAAACAGTTGATAAAGGTATAGAGATAATTGAACATTCAAGCTCACATGTAGTCATTTTATAGCTTAATTTATAGATTCTAAAGCATAATTATATTACCTTTATGTATTCATTTAAAATCTGCGTAATAAGAATTGATTAACTGAAATTACATGTGAGATTGTTTAAGGGTATAATAATTATATAAATAATTTCTAAATCATACAAATTTATTATTCTAAATAAGCATTACTAAAAGCCAGATAATTTTGTCTTTAAAATCATTTGCTATGTAGTGATCTTTAATTTGGAGTAGAAACGGGTGGAGTGACATTATCGTGTCAGACATGTGTCACTTTGCTCACAGCTGATTGGTCCAAGTTCGGTTTGCAACCTCTTACCTGGAACATAACCTGTCCCGGACCAGGTTAGCCGTGGAGTGCAAGTTATTATGGCGATGAACACTGCTAAAAGCCAAACCACTTTCATGATACCTAAAACCCAGGGTAAGCGCAAACTAAACTGAAACATAGCTGACTAGCCACCTAAACTGGCTTCATGGTATAGGCCCCTGGTTGACAGACTCTTCGTTTGCGCGAGTCTTGCGAGATTGTTTACATCACAGCAAGTCAGAGAGCTTTATTAACCGGAAAGATCAGTTCTACTCTGATCATCACAAACAAGCCTGTTGACAATGTCATGATGTACTGGTTGAGATGAAAGAAATTAAAGGGTTAGTTCACCCAAAAATGAAAATTCTGTCAGTATTTACTTACCCTCATGTTGTTCCAAACCTCTATGTGTTTATTTGTCCTGCTGAACACAAAGGAAGATATTTGGAAGAATGTTTCAAACAGATCTCAATCAACCATAGTAGGAAAAAATACATACTATGGTAGTCAATGGGGAATGAGATCTGTTTGATTAAAACATTCTTCCAAATATCTTCCTTTGTGTTCAGCAGAACAAATAAACACATAGAGGTTTGGAACAACATGAGGGTGAGTAAATACTGACAGAATTTTCATTTTTGGGCGAACTAACCCTTTAAAGTAACTAACTAGTTTTTTCTGTTTCTTTTCAGTTGTCGCTTCATCTTTGTTTTTGCAGTGCTGATTAACAAAGGTGAGCATCTAAAATTTTAATGATTAATTCATATGTATAAATGTCACATTGTGTTTACAGTTAATGTGTCTCATTTCAGTGTCTCAGGAAACAGTACACAGAGAGGGTGTTACTGGCGGTTCTGTTCTCCTGCCGTGTTCTTCCAGTGAACATGATCATAAACTTCAAGACATCGATGTAAGCTGGAGACACAATGGCAGTGAGAATGTGTATGATATAGTCAAGGGTGAATATTCACTGGAGTTTCAGGACCGTCGGTACAAGAACAGAGTTGAAACGTTTCCATTGGAGTATGAGAGAGGAAACTTCTCCATCAAACTCAACAATCTCAATTACACTGATACTGGAGAGTTCAACTGCCTCATATCACCCTCAAACGAACAGAAGAATGTAGTACTGATCATCAAGGGTGCGTGAAACTGCTTGATTAATATATATACTCCTGGTTTCACAGACAAGGCTTAAAGGGATAGTTCACTTTGAAATTAATCTTTGATATGTTTTAGCTTACCTCAAGAGCATCCAACATGTAGGTGTCTTTGTTTCTGCAGTAGTTTAAATTTTGATATTTTTAGGTCAAACCGTTCTTTTCTGTCAGAACGGTTATGCAAGTCTTATAATGCAAGTCTATGGTCAACACCTCAAAGAAGACCAAATTAAACATGATTTAATGACTCATTAAATTACACATTGATGCCCTAAAGGCCATTGCACACTGAGTCCAAAATTCACATTCCGAAATTTTCGCACGTAAAAAACAAAAAAAATCAACCTCAAAAAACTCCAAGCCTCCAAAACTTTCGTCCATCATAAACAATTTTGGATCGGGTTCGATTTTCTGCATTTTCCGCAAGCATTTTGAGAGGTATTTTGGTATTTCAGGACCAGTGTTGTGCAAGTTACTTCCAAACTGTAATACATTAGGTATTAATTGTTACTGTTATTTAAAAGTAATTCATTACCTTACAATATTACTGTCTCAGAATTGTAATGCGTTACATTACTCATGTATTACTTTTGAGTTACTTTCACCAAAATAACTAAGTAGTACTTAACTTTGGGGCTGTAACGATATGCAATTTGAAACCGAAATCGCGATTCACCACACAACTCAGATCCACGAACCTACAGAATCGCGACACACCTCTTCCAACTCCAGCGTTATTCTCCTTACCGTCCAGATCCAATGCTGCCTTATCTTTAAATTAGGCTATTAGTATTATTTGAAGTTAACATTATAAAATACGTAGACCTACACCACAAAACTAGTTGAGGATAAATTATTTAAAATTCCAGCATTATGGACGTGACATTTGCAGTCAAAACTTGAAATAAAAATTCTCAGAAAATACATGTATTGAAACGTATATAGGCTATTTCCTTAAAGGACAGACATTAGACAAATATCAGTCTATGTTTTATTTTTAATATTAAGGAAAAGACACACATTCATGCGTGACAAAAAAAAAAATAGGAGGCAAAATATATTTTTTGTAATTCTGTTAATTACACTGCGCAAATCGGATGAGAAGGGGTTGGCATTTTAGTTTTCGTGTTCGCATTTATGAGGAAAAAACAATGTTACAGACGCGACCGCTCTAAACTGGCACAAAAAGACTGCTTTAAAACTTTCACATAGTCTGTTGCCTTTAAGAAGTAAAATACACTGTAATACAACTGTAATATAAGCCTGACTGAACATGTAACGAGTAAAATATTACTGAAAATTGATTAGTAATGCCTTACACTACTGCGTTACAGCAAAAAGTAATATGTTACTGTAATGTATTACTTTTGTAATGCGTTACTCCCAACACTGTTCAGGACAGGGAGGGGGGAGCTCGTTCCGGACATCATTGCACATGCACAGTCCTTTCAGTTTCGGTTTTCAATTCGATCAAGTGTTTATATGTTCTCTCAATCGGATTAGAAAAGGAATAAACCTCGCCTTTCAATCAGATCAAAATTTCGGATCGATTAAAGGAACACTCCGACTTTTTGGGACTTTAGCCTATTCACCTTACCCCCCAGAGTTAGATAAGTCCATACATACCTTTTTCATCTCCGTGCGTGCTATAAGTCTGTTTGACGCACCCACCGCTAGCCTAGCTTAGCACAAAGACTGGATGTGAATGGTTGCAGCTTTCATACTAATCCAAATGAGTGACAAAATAACGCAAACGTTTTCCTATTTACATCTTGTGGTTTGTATAGTCACAGAGTGTGCAAATATCAAGGCCATATGAGACACAGACATCTTTTGACCGTATATATTTTCTGAAGGGGAAACACTGCTACTTGGGCAGAGTGATAACAATCACCTGAGACGCACCGTGACGAGGAGCAGAGAGTTCGCTTCGCTCAGCGTTGGAATAAAGAGTCAGCAATTACTAACGTTAGATAGAAAAGCATAGTTTATCATGGGTGTTTGCTTTATTGTATGAGCTGTGACAATAAACAGGGGAGACCAGGTAATACAGTACCATGTTTCATTCATTTCCAACCAAAAACGCACCCAGATTTATAAATATCACATGAATAAATAATTATTATTACAGGAATCAATATATTTTAAATGCAGTTTATTAGCTGAACCAAATGTATTCAACCGTATATAATATACAGTATTGCATTACTATAGGATAGAATAAGGGGAAAGTAATAGCACAAATTAATTTTGCACAATGAACTCACAGCCTATCGTACCCTTTTGCACGCTCAAGTTCGTTATTTCCATGGTTATTTCAAATTTAGGCTACTAGGCGCGCCGCGCGCAGGGTGCAAGTTCAACGCGGTGAACGCGCTCGTTTTTTTTTTTCCCAAGCGCGTCCGCACCGCATCAAGATAAAAACATATTCATACCCTAATCATATAATAGTGTCACTAACGTTACATTAGATCTGGCTAAAGGCACTGTTACAGTAGGTCATCTAAAAACATAACGGAACACTTACCTCAGCCGCAGGTGATCCACTTGTCCTGTCTGTGCTATCGATGGGATAGCCGTATCCTTCAGCACATTATGGTCCGTGTGGCAAATTCCATTTTTTCAAAATAGTCGTCCTCATTGAAATGTACGGAAGCAAACATAATGTCCCTTGATAATCTTAGGTGTGTTTGGATAAATATCCAGAGTAAGTTAGCCATTTCTTCATCCAGTCAGCGTTTTTAGTTGGAATTCTGTGAAACATGGTATTACCTCCCCTGTTTACAGTCGCAGCTATTTACAATAGAGCGAAAACCCATGACTCTAAACTACGCTTTTACTATTTATAAATTGCTGACTCTATTACCCAAACACCGAGCGAACTCTCCGCTCCTCACCACTGCGTGTCTCCGGTGATGCGGTTATTACGCCGTCAAAGTAGCAGTGCTTCGCCTTCAGAAAATAGTTCCCAGGTTTTATACGGTTAAAAGATGTCTGTGTCTCATTTGACTTTGTTATTTGTACATTATGTGACTAGACAAATCACAACATGTAAATAGGAAAACGTTTGCGTTATTTTGCCACTCATTTGGATCAGTATGAAAGCTGCAACCAGTCACATCGAGTCTTTGTGCTAAGCTAGGCTAGCGGTGGGTGCGTCAAACAGACTTATAGCACGCACGGAGATGAAAAAGGTATGTATGGACTTATCTAACTCTGGGGTGTAAGGTGAATAGGCTAAAGTCCCAAAAAGTCGGAGTGTTCCTTTAAGGTGTGATTGAGCAGCCAATTCGATAACTAATGTATTTTTTGGGGACAATATATAACCTGTAGCCTATAGAGCTGTTCTGTCTGCCCAGCGCTTCCGCCGGGCCGTGCGTGTGTGCGTGCCTGCCGGTGTGTGTCCATTTTTTAGACATGAGACATACTGCCAGTCTCTGTTCAGCATCGATTGGTTCACGGAAATTGGCCTTCTTTTTAATATGTGGCTCCAGAATTGTTAGCAAAGCATCAAACTGTTCCACTGACATTCTGAAGTAAATTTTGAATCGCTCGGGATAAATTCGCAACTCCTTGATAATGAGGTGGAACTCTCCTTCCTCTCAGCGCGATTGCAGGATTGGCAGGATTGCAGGACCCAATATTTTTTTTTCTTTCTTCTCTTTTCAATGAGAGAGCAACAAAATCATCCTCACTGCTTGAATCCATTTTGTATTTTTGTGCATTCTTTTCCGCAAAGGTTTAACGAAACGAGCGGTTTGTGTGAGAAAACGAACAGTACTTATATCGTTTTTACCTCTTGTAATCACAGCCACGTCCGAGTGCTCTGAGGGCGCGGGTGCTTCGGTCCGTGCATGCGCCGGAAGTGATCTAAACATGGTTCTGAAAAAAAACAACGTTGTCTGTTGCAGACTGATCTCATGAAGTAGCGTGTGTATGACACGGCAATTCGTATTTCCATTTTTGGCGTGCTATCAACACGCATAATCGCTTTTCAGCGTATTTATGAACGCCGTTGACTTGACGTTACAATACTGTATATATAAATATATGACCTACCTCAACCCCGTCCCTAAACCTACCCGTCACTGGGGTTAATGGCATTTATGACTGTTCCCTCACCATCCTAGAAAAAAAAAAGATCGCTCCCCAGATCTACATTTTGCTTCTTTCGCTCTGACATTTAACGGCGTGTACAGACACGCGGAATCACTCGGACGTTAATAATAATAATAATTCATTACATTTATATAGCGCTTTTCTGGACACTCAAAGCGCTTCACATAGAGAGGGGGATCTCCTCAACCACCACCAGTGTGCAGCATCCACCTGGTTGATGCGACGGCAGCCATAGTGCGCCAGAACGCTCACCACACACCAGATTATTGGTGGAGAGGAGACAGTGATGAAGCCAATTGCTGTATATGGGGATGATTAGGAGGCCATGATGGACAGAGGCTACTGGGCAAATTTGGCCAGGATGCCGGGGTTACACCCCTACTCTTTCGAAAGAAATCCTGGGATTTTTTTATGACCACAGAGAGTCAGGACCTCGGTTTAACGTCTCATCCGAAGGACGGTGCTCTTTTGGCAGCATAGTGTCCCCATCACTATACTGGGGTGTTAGGACCCACACAGACCACAGGGTGAGCGCCCCCTGCTGGCCTCACTAACACCTCTACCAGCAGCAACCTGGTTTTCTCAGAAGGTCTCCCATCCAGGTACTAACCAGGCTCAGCCCTGCTTAGCTTTAGTGGGCAACCAGTCTTGATGGCATAGACATACACGCGGATATGCGGATAGCTCAAAATGCGTAGAGATAACATGCCACTTGACGCGAAAGTGGCGTGTATGTTTACGCAAAAGTCATGATGTCATGTCGTCTGTTGATATATCGACCCGCGCCTTCAGAGTACTTGGACGTGGCTGTGGTTACACTGAGGTAAAAACGATATAAATACTGTTCATTTTCTCACACAAACCGCTCGTTTCGTGTCTTAGGCCATCAATGTGTACTTACATTTACGAGTCATTAAATCATGTTTAATTTGGTCTTCTTTGAGCTGGTGACCATAGACCTGCCTTACATGACTAAGAGACAAGAACAGTTTGACCTAAAAATATCAAAATTGAAAATACTGTGGAAACAAAGACACCTACATCTTGGATGCCCTTGAGCTTGAGGTAAGCTAAAACATATCAAAAAATTTATTTCAAAGTGAACTATCCCTTCAAATCTAGTCTCAGACTAAAATACATGTTTGAGCTGTTTTAATTGAAAGCAGCATGCACTTGCATATCCTAAAATATATCAAAGCCATTGTTTAGTCTCAAGATTCACACCAGTAATGTTTTTTTCTAAGGCCCCGTCCACACTACTGCGTTTTCGTTTAAAAACGGAGACCTTTTGCTACGTTTGCACCTCCCGTCCACACTAAAACGGGAAAAACGAAGACCTAAAATGGAGAAGTTTAGAAACGCTGCGTTTTGCGTTTTGAGTCTCCGTTTTAGTGTGGACGAGACAAAACCATACAAAACGGAGAACTTCAGAAACGCTGACGCAGAGGCTGACACTTGGCTCTATGATTAGGTGTTATCAGTCATGACGTAACCTTCCCTGATTCGTCATTCACTGTTTACACCGGCACGCACATGCCCAGTGTTGGTGAATGGTCACGTGATCTGCGTTTTCAGTCATTTTAATGTGGACGGAGATCGTTTCTAATACGCAGATAAAACGCTGGAGTGGACGGAGATCGTATTCGTTTTAATTCTCCGTTTTTAAACGAAAACGCAGTAGTGTGGACGGGGCCTAAGGCACGTTTATAAAAGCCACTTAAATGCCCTAATTGAACGAAGGCCTAATCCTGACTTAATCTAAGCCCTGTCTGTAAAACCAAACCATAAAGCTTTTAATTAAAAAAGTTACCTGGTGATGTTTCTATGGAAACCCTGAACCGCAACATAAAAAAAAAAAAAATGAAAAAAAAAATAATAATAATAATCTAGCATTTCGAGATTAAAGTCCAAATGTTTCAAGATTAAAGTCCAAATGTTTCAAGATTAAAGTCGAAACGTTTTGAGAATAAAGTCAAAACATTACAATAGTACAGTCTTCCATAGAAGTGTGTGCATTCATAACAGTGCGTATCCACTGGCTCAGATACGCACGCGCGTGTGTTTGTGTAAAGAAATGCACATGTGAAGTCGAACTGCCATTGATTAACACAAATTAGTAGCTTTTTACTTTTATCTGGGCTTTCAACAAAATTCTACACACGTCACATGTGCTAGTGGCAGTGTTTCTGAGGTGTTTTCGTGCTAGTCTAGGCAACACTATCTGGGTCGAGAACACAACAGTAACCGTTCTGTCTCCCTCTTCACCATAAATATGCTCTGGATACATTTTAAGTGCATCATTCTGTATTCAATCACATGGCCGGATTCTGTGATGTACTAAGATTTAATAACCACTAATGGTTGAGGAGAGATTCTCTGATATGACTGTAAAGCACTTTGAGTGTAGGCCTAGTAGACATAAGAAAGCGCTATATAAATGCCTCATTTCTCCATCCAGTCTGAAAGTGTTTTCCGTGTTGGTTTTCCTATAGGCTAAAGTCTAATCCGGCGCAGTATATTTTATAACGTCCTATAATGGTAGCCTAATGCTGGTAGATTGGCACCTGTTGAACTTCCTTTGATGAAACAAAACACACACACACACACACACACAGTGTGAAACTCGCAATTGGCCATTATGAATGCCTGTGTGTGCGGCAATGCGAAACAATGGCAAGCACACAAGCGCAGCTTCTGCGGAAGACTGTATTCTCGTACTCTCGTCTCTCGAAATGTTTCGACTTCAATCTCAATATTTCGACTTTAATCTCGAAAATGCTAGATTTTTTTATTTATTTTTTTACAGATTTAAAAAAAAAATACAGATTTTTTTTTTATTTTTTAGGTTGCGGTTCAGGGCTTCCGGAGTTTCAGTCTGAATGGTGCTTTATATAAACTTCAGAAAGATATTTTCTTTATATCTGTGCAGTAATTTTTTTTTCTTTTTTTTTTCTGAACTTTGGTTCCATGATCAACAGCAGGAAAAGAAAACAAACATAAACAAGAAGACCAAGGACTGGACCAGACGACTGGACCACATATCATTTACATATGTGTTGGCACTCTCTTAGGTGTAATCTTAGGTGTAATTATTGTTTTGTCTGTTGCCTGTTTTATTCACCGGAGAAAAAGAAATGCCTTATAGACCATTTGGGAGCAGACATCACAGTGTCAGAAAAATGTGTCAGAAAAAGATGGTCTTGGTTTTATAGAATACCATGATCTTTAAAGCTAAATGCAGACTGTTGCAAGCCATTAAACGGACAGGCTGAACTGATGAAACCTGCGATTACCCTTGAATTATGTAAACTATATTCATGCAGTTCATGGGAATGTTGTGTATTAGACCTACAGTCACAGCATGAAATAATATTTATACCTATAACAATTTTATCTAAAAAAAATCAGACTCTTTTCTTGGAATTGTGAGTTTATATTTAACAATTCGGACTTAAAGGTGCATTGCGCAACATTTCATGTTAAAAATACCCGTTTTTCTAACCCATACGTGCTTAAAGGGGTCATATAATGGTACATGCACTTTTACAAGTTGATTGTACTGCAATGTGTATTGGCAGTGCCTGTACACAACCATCATTTAAATAATGATAAAAATCCATCCAGTGGTTTTGTTTTAATCTCTTATATGTTTTCCCCTGCCTCAAATCGAGCCGTTCAACCTTGTGACGTCACACGGTCGCACACCCCTCCCACGGTTGTTGATTGAAAGCAGTGTTTCAACACAGACCCGCCCTGAGCGAGCTGTCATCATTGACTATAGTCCGTCATTGTTGATACACTGGAGCAGAATAGCGTCTAAGCGATTGTGTTAGGTGCAATAACAAACACAGAAATCATTCTGATGTTTCCTAAATTTTTTTTTTTAAAGAGTTTTGTTTACGAAGGGAATAGCCTATTCCCCACGATCAACGTCAGTACTTTCTTGTTTGCACGAATCATTTCTCACCAGACTGCTTTATAAACGAGGATCAGTTTAAAGCTGGTTTTGCTAAGAAGCTGCTCCTGAAAAAATATTGGTACCAACTATTTATGTTCCCTCTGCACCTAAAGTTTTATTAATCTTTATATTAATATTTGCAAATCGCGGGAAAAAGTTTTTCATGACCATTAGTTGTAACGTCAATCTGTCAATGAACTGTATGCATCAGTAAACACAGCGTTCGTACCTCACTACTCTACTCCGCCAGTGCATACAAAGATAGATCAAAGTAACATTATGTTAACCAACCATTCAGAAACAATCTCAAGCCTTGATTCTCAAGCCTTGATTGTCGAACTTCTTTGCGGCCGTCATCTTGTTCCGGAGCGACTCCCGTTCTGATACGGTTGCACAGATGTGTCCTCATTCTCTCTTCAAAATATCCCTCAATTGTTGTCAACAATGCAACACCTCACGTGCGCTGTGTCTATGCCCGCAGAACAGAGGGGCGGGGTTTATTATTTAAAGGCATATGCACTGAAATGGCTTGCTGATAACAGAGCTGATTTTGACCGGGTAAAATGGTGTTTTCTTAAAATACTAATGAAAATTGAAGATGAAAGTATATTACAAAGTTTTCATTTAGACCCTAAACATTGAAAAAAATTGCATTATATGACTCCTTTAAACAATTGCCTGATGGGCTGAATGAGCCCTTCTCTGATCACTGCAATTGCCTCTATAATCCTGTACAGTAAAATAAGAGGGTTTCGGGACGAAATTGAGAAACTGGGCGTGACGTCATACGCGTTCACGCTCACCTGGCTATGTCTGGCAGGTTTGTGTATTCGCTGCCATTCTCCGTATCAGCGAAGACAACTTGAGCAACAAAACTTTAGTCAACTTTCGTCAAAAGTAGAAGATGGATTCAAAGAGACCGGTATGTAGTTCATTCCAAACCCCAACGCAAACTCCACATAAGACAAAGAAAATAAAGCTTGTCTAGTGCCAGGCGTCGGAATAAGACGAGATTCAACATCGGGAAGGTTTTAAACAAATGGAGAGATGAGATCTCCGGTCTGCTCTAGGGCTCAAACGGGATCCTATACAAAGTATTAACTTATATTGTTCATGAACGTGTTTCATAATACAATCATAAGTGGATACAGTAAGCATATAAAACAGTTCAACATGGAGATAGATGGAAACAAAAACCGAAGTGTTCTACTACCCGATGAGCGTGCACACCTCTGGTTGCAATTTCACTTGTTGCCAGAGGGGGCATAGTTCTGCAAAAACTCAGAGACTATGCACCTAATAATAACTTGCAATTTCTAGTTTATATCACAATTCTGAGGAGAAAATTGTGGGATATGATATGAACTTGCAATTCTGGGGAAAAAAAATATTTATTTATTTATTTTACACATATTCCATGGCTTTTAACATAATTTGTACAGCTTTCATTGTTTATTTCTGTTAGAATTACTAACTTTGGGTCAGATCACCCGAAATGAAAATGAAAATTCTGTCATTAATTTTTCACCCTGATGTCATTCCAAACCCATACTTTTTTGGGGGGTTTTGGTTTATCTCTGGGACTCAAATAAAGATATTTTTTAATGAAATCTGAATCATTTCTGTTCAATTGACAGTCTGCAACTACAACTTTGATGCTTCAAAAAGTTCATAAAGAGATTGTAAAACAAATCCATATAAATCGAGCGGTTTAGTCCACATTTTCTGAAGAAACATGATCGCTTTACACGATAAACAGATTGAATTTAGTCTTTTATTTACTTATTAAAATACAAACAGAATCTCAATTGGCTCTTGAGGAAGCTCAAACGTGCTGCGTAACACAAGAATGAACCTTATTGGTTTTTGCACATCAAGCGAACATGCGTGAGCTTCCGTTTACTATAACTGAGGTCCATTCTTCGTACCTTGCTCATGATAACTGATTCCTGTTTAATTTGTTTTTTTTGTTTTGTTTTTTTTTAACCGAATTTGTGGATTTGATTAAAATATCTGGATTAAGATGTCTGAGATTACTGCACGTTCTTGTGTGAATTGGAAAGTGCAGATATATTGATTCTTGAAAACATATGAAGAGTTCAGATGCAAAAGCCTCTAAATGCCATTTGAAATTTTCTTCTAAAATGATAATTTTTATCAAGCTTGTATATTTAAGTTCAGTAATTTCACTTAAATGGCAATGAAGATTACCTATTAATTGTTATTCAAGTGAAATTACTGAACTTAAATATACAAGCTTGATAAAAATGACCATTCTAGAAGAAAATTCCAAATGGCATTTAGAGGCTTTTGCATCTGAACTCTTCATATGTAAACACGTAGTGACATCATACAGTAGTTAAAAAGAACTTTACACACCTGCCAAAAAACTTGTATTTCTGGACCTTTGTAAGGAAACCAATACAACAAAATTTATAATCAATAAATTAAAGGAGCTGTATGTAAGAAATGTATTTCAAATAATCAGAAAATGGCCCTGATATGTCACTAGACATTAAGAAATCATGTTCATTTCAAATACGTATATCACTGACAACAGCAGTCCGGCCAGGATATTGTCATTTAAAAAGTGCAGTTGCAGCCCTCAACTGATGTTGTCATGTTGTGTTTTGGTCTGATGCGCCACCCTCCACCGATCTACCAATCACGAAGTCAGTAGTGTTGCAGCATTCGGGTTGCCAGCTCTTCTCTAGTTACCACAGCTGCAACTACAAATGTATCCGATAAAAAAAAAAAAAAATTGGATCCTGCAGCCTATCTGGCAACCTCGAGTCGAGGGGGAGGGGATACACCGCTCTACAGAAATTTGAAAGTGATTGCAGTACCAGTTTTGGTCACAATCTTAAATACAGCTCCTTTAAAAGTGTCTGTTTGCTACATGATTCCCAATTATTTCCATTATTTCACATTTTCTAGTATTTGTACTGACTTAACATTTTCATGATTGTAATTAGCAAATCGTTTCATTTACCTGTGAAGCAGATTTACGTGACAGCATTAATTACCTTTTTAAAGGTCAAGAAAATGTTTCTGCTGTTTTTTTATTTATTTTTTCCCAAAGTTATCTACAGCGCTGCTTCAAGTTTCTCCTATGATTAAAACTCATGCACAGCTTAGACTACAGTAACTAACTTTAAATGTGTGTAAAGCCCTAGGCACACCAAGCCGGTGTTCGGCTGTTGGGCCGTTTTTGAGTGTTGTCTGACTGTTTGCTCTGGTCGGATGACGGCAGGTTTTTTTGGGCCAATTCAGCATGTAGAACAGTGTTTTATGTTTATTTTTTTATTTTTATTTTTATTTTTTTGGTTGAAAAATAGACATCATTGCAAAAATCTGTAGTTAGAGAGAGACAGTCTTAATCTTCTCAGATGTCTTTTAATTTAAAATCTATGAATGTATTATAATTGAGATAAGAATAATATTGTTTTGGTCGGTCAAATTATGATGTATTAGCCTATCTAATGATACACTTAATTAACATAATTAATTAAATTGAATACTTCAATGTGACAAGAAAGTTCTTACAGATTTTTTTTCTGATGACAGCTCCTGTAAACTCCAATTTTTCCATTGATTTGGTAATGTGAATAAACTAAGAGTCTTTGGAAAAGACATTTGTTTGATTCCTGATATCTCTACATTATACATTATAATAGAGAAGAATTGGATGATATTTAATCTAACTTTAATGAAAATAGCAGCAATAAATGAAATGATGAGTAAATGTACTGTTGCTTAGTTAATGTTGAAGGTTGCTTAGTTTCCTCCAAGAGCTGTTGGATAAGGGGAGATCCCCCTCCACGCTTAAAGTCTATGTGGTGACCGTTGCAGCGTTCGCAGAGTCGACGCGCGGCCGATCACTGGGAAGGAATGAGCTTGTCATCCGCTTCCTTAGAGGAGCTAGGAGAATGAATCCCCCGCACCCCCCATCTGTTCCTATGTGGGATCTTTCTCTGGTCCTCGAGGCCCTGAAAGCATATCCCTTTGAACCGTTAGATTCCGTGCATCTTAAACACCTATCACTCAAAACCGTTTTTCTGACTGCTCTATCATCACTCCATTCAGAGCGCAGGTCATTTCTCAATCGGCTCTGCCAGCATCCGATAGCAAGAGCGTCCTCCCCGTCCAAGGGGCCTCCCCGTCCACCCTTTGTTAGGTTCTATTACCTGGAAGTTCCCATCCTGCAGGCTAAACTCCTGTCGGTATAAGTGAGATGTACATTCTGTCCAATTACGCAATACTCGTTCCCTCTTCTAGAGAGAACCGAGGTTACGTTAGGTAACCGATACTTATTTTTGTTTGTTTGTTTTTTGTGCTAGTTTCAGCCAGACGCAGTTATCGTTTTCACGTCCTGCGCCACATTGTTTAAATACATTTTTGGACTTTAGACCAGGTTTCCGTTGGTCAATGGCGCACTTCTATTTCAGTTGCCTCAAAATAGCAACACGCCAACACACTCTTAGTATTTTGTCCATTATTTAAAGAGTGTAGTGTGCGCCTTTAGGCTTGTCACAACATGCGTACACTCTGCTTATTATACACACAGGGACGCGCAGCAGCACATAAACATGCCAAATATTACAAATTAAATTGAGCACAACTGGATTTTAACGGGAATGGGAGATGAGATTCTTATTGGTTTATTGCACGTCCCGCCCAAAACACACACGTTACTGTTACGAACTGCTCTGAGACAAGGTCGAGGATCCAAATGCAGTTTATTAGAGTAATCCAGAATTGTAATCAAACACAGGCAAATATATTTGTCAATGATGCTCTGAACCTGTAGCACTTATTTTGATCTTTAACATGAGATCTTTCCTTTTCTTGGAACAAAACGAATGTTTTATGTTGATTCAATATTATTGCTCTGTTTCAATATTATTGTTGCTCTGCAGTACTGCTCTGAAACGCTAGTTGGAGGCGGAGGGTTTTAAGACGTATGGCGACGTACACAGTGACGTAACGACGTCGTTCCCTGGGCGCTCTAGTCAGTGGAAAAACAAACAGGTTCTGAAGCGGTTTGCAAGTTGAACCAATTCCGAACCAACTTTGAACCAGCACCAGTTCCGAACCAGTTCTTTTTTGGTGGAAAAGGGGTAAGAGAGAACTGCAGGTGACTGTCAGCTATAATGTGCGTTCTGCACCTGCGTGTAATGAGCCAACTGTCTATTTCTGCAGATATTTGGGGCCCTATCTTGCACCCGACGCAAATTACTTTATACACAAACGCATATCTCATTCCTATTTTGCACGCGCGCAAAGCGGGATATTCCCCTCCACAGACGCACGTCTGTAAACTAGGGAATGAACTTGTGCTCCCTGGGCGGATCGGCGCAAAAAGGAGGCGTGTTTCGGCGCAAACATTCACTGGTGCTATTTTACACTTCCAGAAAACAATTGCGCCAGAAAAAACCTGGTCTAAAGTCAGTGGGAATTAGCAATCAGAGTTCTCTCTCTGCCCGACGCCGATTCAACAGGTTGAATCGGGTAAAACAAAGCCGACGAGGACTATTTTCAGCCGAACACACCGAGGAAACTCGGTCGACTCACAAAAACTGCCCGACAGCCAACCGTCGGCTTGATGTATTCCGGGCTTTAGGCTTAATATAATTGAAATGGATGAGTTGAACATGGGGAATATATGGAATTGACTCTCTTTTGGAGTCTGTCTCTAGCGGCCAGTTGATAAATTGCAGTTAAAATCACTTCCGTGTTGGTTTCAAGAGAGAGCCTGGAAGGTTGCCCCTTGGTTGTAACAAATAAATGAAAGGTCTTTGGATTTCCCCCTTACTTCAAAACGAATGGTTAGTTATAACTTTATAACAGGCAAATTCACTTCAATTAAACAAAGAAATGGCACTTTTATAAAAAAAAAATTCTCTTGAGCTTTTGCTTCTGGTATCGTCCTGTCAATCATTGTGTATCACTCTTGTCACATGACTTCTGCGACTCTTGCTCTGTGCCATACCCATAATGACATTAAGATTTATACTTCTGCATCAGACTCACGCCGTAGCCACGTTGTAGACTGTGTGTACGGCGTAGCCTGACGTGCACCTCTCCAAAAATTTAACAACGTGTCAATTGTACTTGGAGAATTGGCTTCCGGCTTATAAATGATCTGTTCTTCGATATGTTACAATTCAAGCTACAACAAAAGTTGCTATATATGTTCCGTCATTACTGCTGCTGCTGCTTCTCCAACAACAACATACACAACAAACTGCTTCTTCTTTGGCTTTTGCCTTAATACTGTGGGTTACCCATCATGGACACTGCCTACTAGTGGTTTGCATGTGTAATTGCGCATCTACATGGACAACAATGCAGAAGTATAAATGAAAACCGACACGTAGCCTACGACATAGGTCTGACGCAGAAGTATATATCAGCCTTTATGAACCCCCCACCTCAGCACCCCTGTTTAAAATGCGTTCCCGTGGCTATGGGCTGAGCCTGGATCCAGACAACACCCTCCAAACCCACACAACACACCACATGATTTGCAGTTTGTTAAAAATAATGTTAAATTGCTTTTATGATGTGCATTAGATGATGTGGAGGTTGGACAATAATTTTGAGAATTTCAATTGTGTTCTGAGAAATTTACCAAAGCAACTGAGAAAAACTGTAATGGCAATCAAATATAAAAACATGCTTAAAGGGACAGTTTACCCAATGAAAATTGTGTCATCATTTACTCACCTTCAAGTTTTTCCAACCCTGTATTTCTCCTGTATTATTGTGATATTGAGAAGAATGTAGGTTTGCTGTCAACTGTTTTACAACATTCTTCAAAATTTCTTCTTTTGTGTTCAACAGAAGGAAGACATGGCAACAGGTTTAGAACACCTTGAGGGTCAGTAAATGATGGCAGCACTTCCATTTTTGGGGGGCCGTATCTTTAAATGATTAATAAAGTGGGGATGGCAATAAAGTCATTAAATGCTGAAAAAAGTGTGGTCAGAGTGAGTTTGACTTTGACTTCCTCCACTTGATGTGGAAGGTTTTTTTTTTTTTTTTTTGTCTTCCTGTGTTTTCTTCAGAGCTGCAGTAGATTTATCTTAATGTTGTGTAGAGGGAAGCAGAATCATTCTGAAGTGTTTTATCTCAACAACATGAAGATCATTCAGCTTCAGCTCTGTGAGTTTATTATATGATATGGCTACAGGCTTTGTAAACTTATTAAAATTACATTACATTTCAAGTAAAAGTAATCTTACGTTGTTGTTCTTATAGATGTGTTAATCTGTTGTCGAGCTGCAGTCTCAGATCAACTCACTGATCTGGGATCAAATGTGACCATAAACTGTGATCTTGATGAAAATGAGGTTTATTGGATTTTACTGAAAACACCAGATCCTCCAACAGTGATTCTACGGTCATTCCCAACATCAAGAGCACCTTTTTACTCGAATAAAACGTTCATAAAGAAATATTCAGTGCAGTTTAAACACCGTCTGGTTATTAATAATGTGACCGATGATGAATTAGGAATTTATTACTGTATGAACGCAGGCGCGACTCCAAAACTCAGCAACAGCACCAGACTGACCTTCACCGGTGAGTTCATTTACTTTTTTAGTGATCAAGACATACTGATGATCACTGCTTACATACATACTTGCTATTATACATTTATAGATATGCAAGACATAATTATATTACTGTAATAAATAACAATATGTTATCATAATTCTCAGTGCTTTAAATCTTTAGTTTTCTACAGTAAGAGACTGGACACTTTCTTTACAGAATCAACTCAAGTAACTGAGTGTTACAATAATACAATTGAGTGTCAAAATCATACAGCGGTTGATCAAAATCAGAAACAATGTCAGATTATTATCATCATATCTGGACTGATGAACGGGCTTCTGCTCATTGTGCTGATCGGTGAGAGATTTTCAGCCATTTGTAAAAATATCCATATGCTTTGCTTTTCTGCATATACTGTATAGCCAGCTGAAGTTAACTGACTATGTAAATTTGATTTATTTAGGCTGCAAGCTTTGAAATCTGAATTCACTGTTCCATTTATAGGGCTGGTAAAGGTTTTTGTTATTGGAAACAGAAGGTCAGCAGAAGAATCACAACTTAACACTGATCTACAACAGACGCAAGTTACAGAAGAGCACGACTTACAGGTAAAAATAAACTTAAAACCCATCCTTACAATAACAAACCTCATTTCTCTTAATAATAACAATTATTAAGGATTGCTGCTGACCTGTTTTTCCAACATGTTATATTTACCTTAATTTGTGTTCATTTTTGTCAACTGCAACTGAATTTGCTAATATTGTTACAGATTATATATTAATACAGATTATATTCTTTCAGTACGCCACAATGGATTTTTCAAAGCTGCGTAGAAATATTCGGCACAGCCAAATCAACAGCACATATGCAGCTCTAAACCTACCGAAGTCATGAACACACGTATGACTGATCTTATACTTATTTTCTTCACTTTGTTCACTCTGAAACTTCTAAAAAGAATTTTAAAACAGGAAAAGACTGAAAAAAAAAAAACCAAAATCAAAATCAACCAAATGTAATATTATTATAAATATTTCATTCTTCTTTTTAAAGACTGCTTGGAAGTCATGAGGATCACAAGTATTTTTACTGAATTGGCAGCTATAGTTTTATATTTTCCTTATGTGTCCATCCAACAAAACTGTAATAATGTGTTGATTGGTGGAATAAAAATGCTTGAAAACCCCTGTTGCAGATGAAATGAGTGTTTAAGAACATTTATGTTCACTAGTTGGCCTATTTCTCTTTGTCAGTTGAAAGACTTTGGGGTAACGCTTTATTTTAAGGTGATGTAGTTATACATTACTGTGTGTATTTACTAGTTATAACAGTAAGTTATGCATACCTAACCTAAACCAAACCCTAATAGTAGTTCTATAGTACGTTTCCGTAGTTACTTAATATTACTCAGTACTTATTTTAGTATACAATGTAAGTATGTCCCATCCAAACAACTTTCTTTTGGAATAGCTAATTGTCTTTTAGCTAAATCTGTATCTTGTAAAAAGTTTGTGGTAGTTATCGAAGTGTTTATTTAAACAGGGACAATGCACACGTTAACATTAACCTAGTATAAAAACAAGGAGAGATGCCCGTAGTCCCGTAGTTTTCCGCCCGTAGTCCCTTGATCATACTTCCCTTTTACCTTTTTCATACTTTAATCTCAGTATGGAGTGTGTGCACATTATTCATTATTTTTGTGAAGCCTGCTTGGTTGAGTTTTTCATGCTTTTAGACCAAGAAGTTAATTTATTTAACAATTCATTTGGGAGACTGTTTATTATGTCAAGATGTTTCAATTAATGCCAAATCTTGATTAAAAAAAGAAAAACACAATTAGTTAAATGACTATACAATGAAAAAGTCTGCTATTGTGAAATGTTGTGGCTTGTCAACCTACTTTTCTCGAACTCAGCACTCGGGGTCTTTTTCCTCTCTTTGTTTCTTTGTGAAACAAAATGAGAATGTGAAGAGTCCTCTGTTGTTGTTTTTTAAAATGCGTTTTATATGTGAATAGTCTGTTTGTTGTTGTTTTTAATCCATAAAGTATTTTTAGGTATTCATTCGAAGAAATGTGCTTGCAAATAAATGGCAGAAACATTTTCTCGATTTTCTCATTCTTTTACTTTAAAGGACTTTAAAGTTCACCCAAAAATCAAAAATTTTTGATCATTTACTCACTCTCAAGTTATTCTAAACCTGTATGAGTTTCTTCAAACTGAACATTTTGAAGAATGTTGGTAACCAGACAGTTGACGGTAGCCATTGACTTTCATAGTATTTTCCCCCCCCCCCAGTCAATGGCTACCGTCAACTGTCTGGTTACCAACAAAAATATATAAACAAAATATATTCTTTTGTGTTCAGCAGAAGAAAGAAACTTTAGGGTGAATGATGACAGAATTTCCATTTTTGGGTGAACTATCCCTTTAAATGTACTTATTTTTGACTCATGCTCAAAATTATATTGATATGACTGCCTTTAACATTTTCTTAGATCTACATGAACTTTACTATTAGTTTGACAATATACAAATAATATATATTTAATATAAAAGAACAATATTTAAATTCCATTTGAAAACTTTAGGAAACATTTAGGAAAACACCTTTATTTTAGGAGAACACAGTCCAGCCGTTCAGTCATAATATAGGTTTATTATAAAGCTGCTTCGTCATGAATAAATATATATTGTGTATGTTTTTGTGTGTATGAGAATGTCACTTCAATAATCTACAAAAACGTTGTTTGCTGGTCTCTCTACTGTCCCTCTAGTAATGCTACTTCCTATACTTCATGTAAACAGCATGCTTACAAAGACAAGTCAATGAAATTTCAATGTGATATAAAATAATGTCCATTTGATGTCCATATTGATTGGCGTTTATTACTTAAAGTGAACACTGACATACATTAAGCACCATTACCAGATTCATAGTAAATCAATAATTAAACTTAAAAAAAAATTATGGTTTATTGGAAATGGCATGGGATAACTGATACATAGTATTATGTATAACAAAATGTCTAGTAATATAGGTTTGTATACAGTAATATATTTTATGCAATTTGTTAAGTAAAAAAGTAACACTTTGCAGCGGTGTTTTTAACTGAACTAAATTGAAGTGCTAAACCAAAACCATAAACGTTCCACTAGCTAGGGCACAGGCAATGAGTCTCACCTTTGTCAAGAGTGGAGGTTTAACTGTTAACCGAGGGCAGTGTTTTTCCAAAACCTTTAAGTTTATGTATCTCTGTTCTCACGGTTGTCTAAACCTCAAGTGGAAACAGATCAGCATTGCAGTATGCCTGCTTTGATTGTTTATGGTCTGCACATTTAGTCCCCATTTAGTACTTGCCAACTGTGTTAACGCATGTAAAGCATATTTACAACACTTATACCAAAGTTTATATAGCTGTGAATGTCGAGGAAACTGAAATTGTCAAAGCCATTTCACATGTATCTAGGGTTTTTCTCAAAGGCTTCAACCAATTAAATAAACGCTTACACAAATGCTATTAGAAGAGCTGAAACTATGGGTAAAAAGCAAGTGAACATAAAATTAACATTCACACTTCGGTCTGTAAATATGAGCCCTATTGCTGCGAACACACAAGGGTGATACTAACAGAGACATCTCAGTGCTGCTCACCAATCAAGTTTGAGGATCAGAACTAAGAGCTGTAAACTATTCATCAAATATTTTAGGTACAATTTTTATTAACTTATAGTTCTGGTCAGTTTTTAGAACTTTTTTAGAAACTTTTTTCAGTTTTACAACTAGAAAACAGATATATTTTTAGTCCGAAAGTGGAACGCAATGAACAATTCAGATGGTGAAAGCAACCTTTCAGCTGTTTTCTGTTGCAGACACGACCTGTCTGAGAGTAACCACCATAACCAGTGATAAAAATAGTCTAAAGATTTCAGGGCCAATGTGGATTGTTGTAATTGGCAGATATAGTCCCCTGCTAATTCAAACAAGAGACGATCAAAAGCTTTACTAAACGGCCTTTAAATGGCAGGAGGCATCATGCACATAATCAAAAACAAAGCCAAAAATTAATAGGCCTTTTATTCGACATATCCTATAGATTTTTACAGACAATTTTCAGATGTAACCATAAACATTTTCATAAGTTACTGTATTTTAATAAAAAAAAAAAATGTTTCAGAGTGACTGATTAAAGTAACATTTAATTTGTAATTAAATTACGTAACTCTATTACACCTAACTGGTTACTCTCGAAGACTGGTTAGGTTGGTATGGTTTAATGAGAGTATACTTCAAAGTGTACTTTCATAAACTAAAAAAATGACTAGTAAACTATCATTATACATATAAGTGCACTTGCAGCTTGCTTACTACTGTCACACTTATAGTACATTTTTACATACTAAAGTATACTTTTTTTTATACTAAAAGTGGGCCAATTTAGTCCCACTAGTATTAAAAACAGTAGGCTACAATTACAAGTATAATACTACATTGATTTTAGTATACTTACTACATAAAGTATACTTAAAAATATACTTGAACTTTACCAAAGTATACTCAATAAAAGGAACTTAAAGTAGGCTATAATTATTTTGTTGACTGTTCAGCTTCTCCTATATAGCAGAAAGGCCCGCCTCCAGTTCCTCCTTGAACATCATTGGCCAATCATGTGGATTGGTGTCATAGGGCTTCAGTATTTCTCTGAGAAAGGAGTTTCTCCATGTCAGCTACTGACACAAAGTCACCCCCCCCCCCCCCCCTCTTACATTGAGTAACCAGAGACAATGGGAGGGGCTAGCCTGTGTCCAGTTCTCTGAGGCCCATTCCTTACATTGCCCCCTTTTGTTCGGACAGGACAAATGCAGCAACCTGCTTGAAAGGTTTATGACATTGCAATAAGTATAAGTTGCCCAGGGAGCAAACCATCGAAAGAGACTGAAATGTCCCCAAATAAGTAATAATAAATAAATAAATAATTCATTAGGAGTAAGATGTTTTTGGATCTTGACAGTTTTAGTGTGCACTAAAAAAAGTTCATAAAGTGCACTTAATTTAATTTACAGTGACACTTACAGTGTGCTTTTTCTATATTTTGTTAAATAATGCAAATACATTTTTTTTTAAGTGTGGCTTTGGTGTCCATATATGTTGGGATCACTGTATACAGTATTACAAGGATTTGGTTCAGGTGTTTATCCAGTAGAGGGCACCACAATAGTGAACAGTAATGACCTTAATATAGTAGAGAAGTAGAAAGGTTTGATTTGCCAATGACAAGTCTTAATATTTTAGGAACTATTACTGGATTACATACAAGGTGGCAAAGAGCACATTTGCAGTGTACCTTGAGGAATATGTGCATAGATGGGAATGTGATTATAGGACAGGTTTCCTCTATCAACATCCTTGTTGGTCCTGCAACAACATCCCTATATCTAGCACTAAGATTTCAAGGCTGGGTTTAAGGCTAATGTTAGAATAGGCTTGGGTTTGAGTTATAAGCATGTACAGCATTGCTTATAACGGATGATATTTCCGAAAATACCACAAAAGGTATTGAAACTGCCCCCAAAAAATAAGGATATGGGGTAAAAAAGAAAAAAAAGAAAAAGAAAATCCCTGTGCGTGATCTTGTTTTTTTGATGATGATCATTATTAGCTATGTGAAACCTCAATGGTATATTGTATTTATAAATAGTGCATTAACAATGAAATATGAACTAAAATCCTTAATATAAACAAATTGATAAAGTAATTGCAGTTCCACTGCATACAGGGTTTTGTGTATTTTTTCACCTCACTTTTCTCCAACTGTTTATTTGAAATTGGCCTCTGAACTGCCTGCTAAGGCAAGCCCTCTGCTCAGTGTAGTCAAACCCAAAGAAAGCATTTTGATCGCCCCTGGTGGCTAACTGCAGTTTTACATGTGGAGGGAGAGATCCTGAGGGGTGGTTGGTTATGATTTCACTTTTCTAACTGTAGTTAAATAATAATAATAATAATAATACGTTTATTTTATATAATGCCTTTCAGAATACTCAAGGTCTCTTTACAATAAAGTACAAATAAACATGACATAGAAACATGACATAAAAAATGAAATGGGATGGTGGTACATAAACAAGTAGCAAAAAGATATGTTTTAAGGTGCAGTTTTGAAATCGTAATGATGAGAGGTTGCAGAT